GATAGATAGATAGATAGATAGATAGATAGATAGATAGATAGATAGATGAGGGAGGGAGGGAGATGAAAAGGAAGGAAGGGAAGGAAGAAAGGAAGATGAAGGGAGGAAAGGAAAATGAAAGGGAAGGGAGGGAGGAGGAAAGGAAGGAAAGAATAGAAGGAAAAATGAATGGGAAGGAAGGAAAAAAGAAAGAAAAGTGAAGGGGGAAGGAAGGAAAAAGGAAAAGGAAGGAAGATGAAAAGGAAGGAAGGAAGATGGAAGGAAAGGAAAATGAAAGGGAAGTAAGTAAGTAAGTAAGTAAGTTAGATTCTCTCGGAGTAAAGTTCTGAATGGATCTACTCCGGGGTAAATTGAAATTCGCAGGAGCTATAAACGGTTTCCCAATTCTGAAATTTCTAGATTTCCCTTGGAGGAAAATGCCAGGTTGGGGGGTGAAATCCGCTGACACATGTCAACTCCATAATGAACCCGCCATTGCAAAGCAGAAAGGATCAAAGTGGACAAATTGACATTGACAAAGTGACATTTTCTATATTGTTTCATTTCTGTGTTGTCTTTATTTTTGATTCCCTGTTCCCTTCCGCTGGCTTGCATGCACTAGACTAGCAGATGGCTACAAATATTGCAGCCAAACAAATAATCAGTGCATATTTAGAGAGCTGTTAAGAATCCGATTCAGCTGCCATTCCTCTCGGTCCTGTTTTATTTATTATTATTATTTATTTTGTTTTTTTTCCCCTCTCTGGCAGCCTGCTGAAAACCCATAAACAAATGCGATACAACTGTAGTTTGTGTAAGTATTTTACAGCTCGCTGACTTCCATATGAGCAGGATTTACAGGAACACAAAGGGCTTGACTCCTGCACCAATCGCTTAATGCGGGAGACAAACATAAAACACACCGCCTTGGAAATTGGACCCAATTGTGGAATTTTGCACAGAAATCCCAGCTAATGCAGACAGAAGGATGCAATTCTCTTGATTTTGCACAGGGGGAGAGAAACTAAATTAACTGCAGATCCTCCATGTTTCGTTTTTATTTTACGCTGCCTGCTAAAGTTGGGGTTTGGTCGGGTTTAGAAAATGAACACACCCAGATGTGTGTGTAAGTGGTTTGTTAAGATGGGTGGTGGTTTTTTTGAGCTTTAGTATGATCAACCCCCACACCCCCCCCAATAAATTTATTAAAGGGTAATAATCTGCTTTTGAATCTCCAATTTGCATAAAAAGCTTAAGTGGATGTAACTTTACATGCCATTTGCATATAAATTTATAAAATGGTCGTTTAAATTCATATAAATGTATATAAATTGTCATTTGCAGCAAGCAACTTCCACTTACACAAAGGAGATGCGACTTACGCAAATTACGTACTTCTACGCAAATGGCGTAAATGTAAAAGTACCTGAGGTACTTTTTACAATATTGTCCATTGGGCGAGGAGGTACCTTTTACCCAACCATTTACCCAAATGGCGTTAAAATCTGAGGCCTAAAATGGCCTTTAACAAATAAGGGAGGCCTCTGGGACTTGAAGAGGGCAGCTGCCATCACTTCTGGAACTGAGGCCTTTTCGGGCCTAGTCACAACAGAGACCCCTCTCCAAGCCTCAGGACTTCAACTCCCAGAATTCTCATCCATGGCCATGCTGACTGTGGCATTGTGGGAGTTGAAGTCCTTGGCCACCTAGAAAATGGCTTTGGTTGGGAAAGCTCTCACCTGGAGTGTAGTCGTGAGGAGGAAAAGGATCCGCTGCCATCCTAGCTGGTTAGAGGGTGTCAAGCTTCACCAGCCATTCAAATGAAACTGCAAACCCAGAGTTAAGAAGCTCTTCCTGGAAGATGGCAGTAAAAGCCTCCAGGAGAGAAAACCCACCTGGTTTTCCGAATGTGCCTTTAAGATGTGCTCAAATAGTGCCATTTTGGCCTCCTGGACACCTTATGGCGGGGGGAAACTGAAGGCCTCAAAATGTTTTACAGGTCAAAATAATCAACTAGCCACATTTGTGGACCTTGTTTGCAACCCCAACCACAAACAAACCTGGTTTGTTTCAACTGGGCAAGCCAAATTGGAAGGCCCCCAGCTGGATGACTCCATAAATCCAAATGGCAGCCAGATTCAGACAGCATTTCTGGGGGTTGCAGAAATTAAGCCACGAACTGGAGGCTTTCAAGACTGGACAGTAATTTAATTGGGATGATATAAAGTCCCCTACCTTGAGCAGCGGGTTGGACTAGAAAACCTCTGAGGTCCCTTCCAAGCCTACGATTCTATGTCTTAGGGAACTGGGTTTAATGTCACAGACAGTGGCCCAAGGGAGAAGGCCAGGAGATGGACTAACCAACATCTGCAGAGCGCAAGAGGCAACGTGGACCCAGCTGCACGACAGAAAGGATCCATTCTGGAAATGAGGACCTCTCCATGAACATACAGGTAGCTTTATCCTATCTATCTATCTATCTATCTATCTATCTATCTATCTATCTATCTATCTAATCTATCTTATAAATCTATCTTATCTATCAATCTAGCCCTATCTATACCTATCTAACCATCTTTCTAACCATCCATCTATCCATCCATCTATCCCTAACTATCCATCTATTTATACATCTATCCATCCATCCATTTCTCTCTCTTTCTCCTATCTATCTATCTATCTATCTATCTATCTATCTATCTATCTATCTATCCTTTCTCTCTATCAATCCTTTCTATTCTATCTATTCATACAGCCCCCCATCTTACGTTTTTGCCTGGGGCGGCTTACAATTAAAACTGATTTTATTCCTGATTTTTATCAGCAGCAGCTCACACACCTGGCTATTTGATTGTTCAGCTTCGGGTACCAGAAATAACTGCAGTCCATCTCATAAATATTTGGCTGCAGGGATGATGGCTCCCAATCAGTCAATTAATCCATTATTATTACAGTCATCAACCAACATTAAGAGGATGGGCTTTTGTTTTTAGGAACAGACATAAAAATAGAATGGGCAGGAAATGGGTATGTAATAGCCACATAAACTGCTAAACATATGCATATAATAAATATATGTTTATAAGGCAGAGGGCATGAAAGGTACCAACGGCGAGAATATAACGTATAAAAAAATGAAATATATCAGGGAAAGGGTGAAAGGCACACAAAAGGGTGAATCTAAAAAGGATTGGGATAAAACTGGTGCACATGGTCTTTTTCTGGCAATGTTTCTTTCCCCAATAACAACAACCCTGCGAGGTAGGGGGAACGGAGAAAGCAATGGGTTCAAAGTCAAAGGTAAGCTGCCTTTTGAAAACTTTCTGAATTCTGTGTCTAATATGGCAATTTCACCAGTGGTGTTGCCGTGTGGCAGGTTTTAAAAGAGCCAATTCCTACTTCAGCCTTGCCCAGGGTAAGTTAATTATTGATCATTTCATCGTATATGGGGTAAGTTGTCATTAGTACGTTATGCATGGTTTAAAATTGCTTTTCCTTGGGCTGCGTTGTCGTGATGGAATTTTGCTGTCCAACTCTTTTGATTGTCTAATTGTGTGTGTGTGTGTGTGTATTTGCTAGCTCAACTCAGGGAGAGAATAACCGAAGGGGAAATTGACCCTTGGAAGAATTGGGTGCAAAATAACGAAGGCAGAATCATAGAATCTATGAGAAACTTTTCAGATCATCTAGTCTAGTCTTTCTCAATCTTAGCGACTTTAAGACTTCAATTCCCAGAATCCCCCAGCCACGACTATATCTGGGGAATTCTGGGAGTTCAAATCCTCATATCTTAAAAGAGTTTTTAGAGGATGATGACGTTATCCATTCAGTTGTGTCCGACTCTCGGTTATTCTATGGTCCAGGCTTCTCCTCTTCTTCTGATCTCGCACTACTGTGAGTTTTTCTATGCTCTACCCTACTCTAATCCAACCTTTTAATTTTAACGCTTTATCAAGTCATTGCAAATCCAGCCGAATTGATTGACACGGGTGTGCCTATCCAGAACAGATTGATTAAGTCAACAATTGATGCATCCGCCTTGAACAAGAAAAATGAACCTATTAATTTTTGATTGCCCCAAAGAACCCTCTCATCCCAGACTCTTTCCTGACAGGTAGAAAAAGGAAATATTATTCTCAAAGTGAGGCTTGAGAGCTCTTAAGATGCTGCCAGATTCATTTCAAAATTTCTCCAGGAAAGCACTTTTCAGCTTCGGAGGTGGCCCCGTCTCACTCTTATAATTATTGGAATTTGTAGCAAACCAATTTGAGGTGGCAACATCTGGCTAAGCTCTGTTGGGTTTGAAGGCTATGCAGGGCGAGTCCTCAGCAGTACTTGGAAGGGAGACCTGGGGTCTGAGGTCCACAGCTCATTTGGGGGCTTCCTGGAAGAAGACTATAAACAAACAACTTTGGTCATTGTTAAGAAGCTGCAGAAGCCAGCAAAAAAATTAAAACGACCCATTTCCATTTAAAAAAGAGAGAGAGAGAGATAAATTTTATTGTTTCACCTACTGGATGCTTCAAGAAAGACCAAGAGAGGGTTTATGACCAAGATA